GTTGTTGTCCAATTGCTTACTTCTATGTAAGTTTATAAGTTTGTTAATTTGATTAGTGGACAATGTTTGCTATGCCAAACAAATGAGCCAAAGGCCAGTTTGACATGAAAGTATGAATAGGCCAAAGGCCAGTTTGACATGAAATTATGAATAGGCCAAAGACCAGTTTGACAAGAATGAATGAATGAATGGGCCGAAGGCCAGTCTGACAAAAATGAATGAAGGGGCCAGAGGCCAATATGATTTGAACGATAGAATGAATGGGCCAGAGACTAGTACGATCTGAATGATAAAATGAATGGGCCAGAGGCCAGTATGATCTGAAGTCGAGTCCGAGCTGTGGCGAGGTCCCCCGCGGGCTTGTTACACACATGCATGTACAATTCATGAGAAAGTGAGTTTGAAATACATGGGATTGTTGTGATAGAAACAAGTTTGGTGTAATTTGAGCCATGCATGTAAGAAATTCTTGGAATTAAGCTTCATAATGTTGTAATTTAGTGTTTGTACAATGTTAGCACATGTATATGTGAAGTTTGAGCTGAAATTATGTGTTTAGAACCTTTGAATATCAAGTTGAAGCTCAAGAACATATTCTGGAAAATCCAGAAATTATGGTGTCCGCTCGAGCGGGAAATACGAGCTCCCAGTATTTTCTGCAGACATGACGTTCGCTCAAGCGGGGAAGTTCATGCTCGAACGGGGATCTATGTAGATCAAGTTCACGCTCGAGCGTCTGAGTGCGCGCTCGAGCATAAATTTGTTGTAACCAGCACTTTTGCAGACCTCATGGGTCCGCTCGAGCGGGGACCCTGTTTTTGAAAATTTTGAAAGTGCATTCTGTGTTTCGTTTTCTGTTCTCTTTCACTTCTAAGTGCTCTTAGGCATGCATTAAGCATTGTAAACGAATTAAAGGGATAAGAATAAAGCCTAAAGAGGAATATGTGAATTAAAGAACGAATTGAATCATTTGTGACCCGTATGTGTTATGTGATGTATAGGGTCAAGCTCCAAGGCAAATCAACCAACCGATCACTGTGGGTAATATCTTGACAAAGATATCTGAAATATGTTGTTGTCCAATTGCTTACTTCTATGTAAGTTTATAAGTTTGTTAATTTGATTGGTGGACGATGTTTGCTATGCCAAACAAATGAGCCAAAGACCAGTTTGACATGAAAGTATGAATGGGCCAAAGGCCAGTTTGACATGAAATTATGAATAGGCCAAAGACCAGTTTGACCAGAATGAATGAATGAATGGGCCGAAGGCCAGTCTGACAAAAATGAATGAAGGGGCCAGAGGCCAATATGATTTGAACGATAGAATGAATGGGCCAGAGACTAGTACGATCTGAATGATAAAATGAATGGGCCAGAGGCCAGTATGATCTGAATGAAAGTATGAATGGGCCAGCGGCCAGACTGACATGAATGAAAGACAAATGGGCCAAAGGCCAGTTTGACATGAATGGATTGGGCCCGAGGCCGTCTGAAGTGTTTGGAACCGAAGTTACTTGATCCATATCTATTTATATACTAGATAGAAATATGAATTGGGCCTAAGGCCGTCCAATCTATATTGTTCCAATGCATCTTCTTTAATTGATATTATTCACTGGGCTTTCGCTCACGCTCATTCATGTGTTTGTAGGTGAGCCGAGAGAGGTCCAGACCCAGTCTCAATGAAGTCTGTGTGGAACAACCAAGGTTTTGAAGAGTCAGCCCTTGCGTCTCACGCACGAGACTCGTCTTCACCCTTTTGTTATGTATTTATACTTTGTCATGTTGGCGAAGACTTTGAATTTGTTGTATATAGTTTTCATGGGTTGACTTAGACTTAAATGATCCTGTCTGTACAGAACCTTACGCTACTGTGTTTTTTGTTGTGAGTTATTAATATGTCTATGTATGGTTTGTTATGATGTGCCATGTAAGCACAGCTCTATGGACAAAAAATTAAATTTTGCTTCCGTTTGGCCCCCCTTTACTCTGCTGAGTTATGTCTGGTTTGGTTTGAGGTCGTAAGTAATCTCATGATTACTGGCCGGTTATGTCCTTAACCCTTGGGGGTGGGTTCGGGTCATGACAGCGTTGTTAGGCCCATGGGAGCTCACCACAGGTCCTGTTTCAATGGTTTGACCCGTTCAATGTGTAGAACTCGTTAAGTACATTATCCCTATAAAAAATCACGTTGATCGGATATTGATAGCTACTTGATCGGATCAGATTTTTATCAATGGTAAATATAATTTTCAAAATAAATTATTGACAAAAATATGATCGATCAAGTAGCTATCGATATCTGATCACCGTGACTTTTTATAGGGATAAACTACTTGGCGAGCTCTATACATTGAACGGTTCAGATTATCGAAACAAGACCCTTGGTGGGTCTCACGAGCGCAACTGCTTGACCCCCCCAAAAGAAAACTACAAATCATACAAAATTATTTTCAAAACTCATAACTAAACAAATTTTCAAATTTCAAAACTCTTTTCAACAACTTATCTTTCAAAATACAATTGAAAACTTAAAATTCTTTTAAAACATAAACCAAACTGATTTAAATTTTGAATTTTATATCCATCCCTTACTTCAAGTGTATTTACAAATGGAGTTAGATGTGATTGATTACATCAAAATACTTTTTATAAATTAGGTTAACACAATTATAACGATTGCTATTAGCACTTGTCTAAATCCTTTGGATCGCCATTTCTCTGAGCCCCCATCCTAAATCCTAAATTTTAATAAGATTTCTTTAAACACCCCACTTAATACCAAATTTATCTCTATTCATAATATTATCACACCTAAGGCACACCCTTTCTCTTTCTCCTTTTGATGACTGTATATCTCCTGTTGAAAAAGAATGCTGACAGTCATTGCACCAATAAATACCATTGCCTCAGTGAAGAGCATTGCATCAACAGTCCATCATTGAAATTCCTGTAAACTCTTAACGAAAAAAGGAATCGACTCGATTGTGTCCAAAAAATACTGTCAAAAAATTCATCGAAAATTCTTGTCAACTATTGCAAAAAACTTGTCGAAATTTCTCTTAGGTAAATACCGACTCCCTATCTTGTCAACAACATTGCCTTTCTTCTTCCTATTACATTTTATTTTTTGGTTTATTTTGGCGTAAAATGGGGTTTTATAAGGAAAAACTCTCACGAAAAACACAATATAGTGTTGAAGATACAACAATCGAACCATTCGACACACCAGTGCCAAAAATAAATGTCATGTTCGGTTCAATAGTACCGACCATCTGCATTACTATTCGAAACCCATATATTGAACTAAATATTTGTGTTCAGTACTGTGTTACCGAACATAATTTTAACAGTCGGCAAACTAGTATCAAATAGCTCGAACAAAACAACAACAATTGAAAACGATCAAGAATGCTAATGCAAGACAGATAAATTAGACTTGAAAAGAGGTTTCTGGTTCAGGAGGATTTATGATGGTGATGAACATGATACATTCAGGGTTTAATATGGTTATGAAAAGTAATAGGTTTAGGATTTATGTTGGTTGGTTATGAAGAGTAATAGGTTTAGGGTTTAGAAAGGTAGAATACGTATAGCTGGAGATGGAGGTGGAAGTAGGGGTGGGTGTATAATATTGTATAGTGTTAGTTCTTATTTGGTAGATAGGTGTTTCATTAAATGATATCTTTTAATGTAATTTTACTTCAGGATATAATTATAATAAAAGAAAAATTAGAGGTTGGGGTCCAAAGAATTTAGGCATATGTTAATAGCAGCACTCTTTAATATTAGCAATGAAAATGACACAAATTTCATACTTTGAGTATTAAAAAAGTAATTAACTCTAATTTTTTATTTAGAAATAAAGGTTAATTACACCTTAAATTTAGGACTAAATCAAACCTTTGTCAGTTTTGCCTAGAGAAATGATTCACATGAGGATTTGAATAAAAACTTACAAATTTTTATATAGGAAATAAATTAAAGAAAAGAGTGGATATTGAAAAGTAGGTTAAAAGTGTCTTGAAAATATATCAAATTTTTTTGAAAATGTTAAAAAAATGTATTAAATTTAATAGAAGGTATCTTGTGTTTTTCAATTAGTTTGTCTTTTGCTTGTATTCTAAAAACACTTGTTAACAAGACCTTATATAAAATATGTATTGTTTGGGTATTAGCCAAACCCATAAATAAAATAATATAATCACCATAAATTATTTCTTACAAATTTCCATGCAAAATTTTGTGGTACTCCAAATTAGTTGTTATTAATTTAAATTACAAAATCAATTACTTTTGTATGATAATTTTAGAAGATAATATACAAAATGTCAATTAATTAATAGGAAAAAAAATTTACTCCAAACAAGGCCTTAATATACCATTTTTTTTTGGGGGGAGGGAGGGGGGTGCCCGCGCTGGCCTTCCACATAGGCAAGCATGGCTTGATCCCTAAAGGGCATAATTAGCGTCGTATTTATATGATGAAGTTGACTGTGTTTTACTTCACTCATGACTCTACCTATTAGGCTGAGAGTTGTACATTCCTCGCTTATTTCAATGGTGGATTTCTTCCTTTGAATTGGGATAAACCTAGCCATAATACCGAAGCTTAGGAGTTGTAATGATACCTCCAAAGAGCACTCATTTTTTGCGGTTCAAAAAAATAAATAAATAAACAAACAAACAAACAAACAAACAAACAAGGCCTTAATATTAAGGGTTAATTATACTTTCACCCTTTTAGTTTGATCCAAATTTTACTTATAGTTTTATATTGAATAATTTAGTTCTTACACTTTAAGTTTAATTTTAATTTAGTTATTTCATTTAAATTAAAAGTTAAAATTAACAATATTAAGACATATATTAATTTCTTAAAGTGTATACACAGACAATCTAAATTAAAATTAGACTGATTATAGAAACTGAATTGTCCAAATTATAACTATATGAACTAAAGTAAAATTTAATCAAACTATAAGGTGAAAAGTGTAATTAACTCAGAACTAAATATTTTAGAATAAAATGCAAGTGGGATGTGGATAAATTTATCTTAGTATTTTGGCACACTAAAAATACAATTATTCGGTACACATGATTTTATTATGTACATCCTCATCAACTCACTTAGCTTTTTCGACGGCCGTGATTGCCCCAGACGAGTTACACGTGATCGAGTCATACCTACGGTACAGATGCGCCACGAAAAGGCACGCAGTGAGCGTAACATAGTCCTTAGCCGCACACTGTTTATTCGACTCGCTCGGTGACCCGGTCTGTGGCCCATTCGACCAGTACAAGTAACTCAGTAACTCACTCCCCTTCTCCTTCGTAAATCGATCGAAAATAAATTTCTCTGGATCGTCAAACACCTTCGAATCTCTCATCACCAGGGTCTGATAACCACACAGTAACTCACCTTTCTTGATCTCGTACGCCGAGTCATGCGAACTCAGTACGAAGTCCTTCCTCGCTCGAGCGTATTGAAGCGGTACGGGCGGGTTGAGTCGGAGCGTTTCGTAAACGAATGACTTAACGAGTTCCATTTCTTTTACTGAGTCGAAACTCAGAGTCGACCCGCTTTTTGCTCTTACTTCTTCCCTCAGCTTTTGTTGAATCCCGGTTGTGTCGGTTCCGAGTTGGCTCAACAGGGTCGGCAAGAAAATAGAGAAACCGCCGTAGGCATTGAAGCCGAGAATGAAGAGAAGGTTGTGAATCGTTTCATGCTTAGTGAGTCCGAACTCGGTCTCGCCTCTCTGGATTGTAAGAAATTCATAGCTGATTAATTATAATATCAGTGATGATAGAATCTTTCACAAAACACAATCCTATAACCTTTCAAACGATCTGAATCATTTAGATACAATTTTTAAAAAAAATTCAAACACATTAATAATCAATACAACAAAGTCATGGTCATGGGGGTCCTTTTTGTGGGGTCCAAACATTTTTCTTATAATATTAGGCATGTTCAACCGTTAATTACATTTCCATGCCAAAATGTGTTGCTTTGTTTACTGGGAGAATTTGAAAAAGAAAAAATAAAAAAAAAAAGTGAAATATAAATAACATATCAACAATGATTCATTCCATTAAAAACATCAATATTAATAACACTAATGCATTAAAAAAATTAAAAAAAAAAAAATACAACTCCAAGACCAAAACATCACATCATTAATGACGGGACCCACTGCCACCTAATTAGTGAGAGCACTAATTAGTGCTCCCAAGCATTTTTCATAACATATATTTATATTTTTCTAATTTCACACACATATATATATATATATATATATATATCTATATATCTTTTTAAATCTCCCACCAAATACAGTATAAAAAACCAAATAGTTAAATTAATTTTTGACTCACATTCTTCTTTTTGTATCTCTCAAATAGAATGATTAGAATACATAGAAGAAAACATATAACTTAAATTGAAAGCTGAGTCATTCATCATTTTATAAATATTAATTTACCTATATTGAGATTAAAACAAAGTGAGACCCATGGTTTTAGATCTTAGAATTACTGTTTTATAGAGTAGGGACAAGTAATCTGTATTAAAATAATTTAGATTACCAAAATTATATTTAAAAAATTTTTGTTTAAATAAAATATTTTCTACAATAGAACATAGCAAAGTTGCTCCTAATACACTTGCAAATCCCATCATATGTGGGAAGTCAAGTTTAAGATTGTTTTGGCTATTTTAACCACAAAAAATAAAATAAAATTTTTAATCAAATAAGATAAAACACCACATTCAACCCGTAATCATTACATTCTTCCTCTCACAAGAAAATCGAAAAAGTCAAAAAAATCAAAAAGTAAAAAAGTTAACCCACTTTCCAAACGAACACGAAACCAATTCAATGTCCAATTATGAAATTCTAAACAAAAAATAAAAGAAATAAAAGAATGAATCGAGATATAACTGTAACACCAAAGCTAAGTGCAAAGAACTAACCAAATTAATCTCGTGGATGGGTAAATTTTTTGTTTTTTAGATAAAATTTATCCTAAAAAGATAGTAATTCAATATTAAATATCCATCTTCATTGTAAAAAATATAATAATAACTCTTTTAACAATTAAAATATTTTATTAATTAAAAATAATGGTATCCATAAATTTTAATTTTTAAAATCTTAATTTGTTGGATTGAGACTAACTATGGTTTTACTTCTTTTCCTCGCCTTTATTATTATTAAGAAAGTTTAAGGAAGACTTATTTATAAGTCCTTTTTCAGACACTTATGTTAGGCTAAGTCCCGTGTAATTTCTTATAAAGTCTCAAGTCGTATTTAAATAAGAATGTATTCCACAAGATCCTACATTAACGTAACGTAACGTGACACTTACATAAACGTAACGTGACACCTATATAAACGTAACGTAACGTGACACCTACATAAACGTAACGTAACGTAACGTAATGTGTTGTCACGTTACGTTTTGTAAACTTAATGAGTTTTTATTTTTTTAAATTGAAAGTGAAAATATTGCTGGTTTATGTTGGTGTCACGTTACGTTTCATATAAATATGATCTATGGTAACGAAAAGACACGTTATTTTTTTGGTACATTTCATAAGTGTCATGTTACGTTACGTTTATGTAGATATGATCTATGATATATAGAAAATTGAATGTTATCATAAATCATAAGTGTTACGTTACGTTTATGTAAATATGATCTATGGTAATATGCAATTTCCTATAGGAAATTACATGTTACCATAGATCATAGACGTCACGTTACGTTTACGTAGGTGTACGTTACGTTGCGTTTATATAAATATGATTTATGATAACATTCAATTTCCTATATACAGTTTTACTATTATTTATGATATTAACAACTAATATTGAGGGTAAATGTGTCAACAAACTTCCCACATGACTTATGGGAACATAAATTTTTTAGTAAGACCATATGTAGTATAAGTCTCCCTAATAGGACTTATAAATAATTTTTCCAAAGTTTGGGTAACTGCTTTAATAATCTTAGTATCTAGGCTTCCTATTTTGCCCTGCCTTAGTAGCTTGGTCGGACTTGTTTGTTTGGCTTTCTCCTTTTGGTATTAATGAGCTAGCTTTAACCTTATCTTATGTAATATTAGAGACCAAGAATTTAGATACATAAGAATCAATCAATAAATAAATAAAACACTCAGTGGATTTAGAATTTTTTCCCCCTCCAATTTCATCATTTATAAATTGAAATTAGAGGAGTTAAATGAAAGAAAGATAGAGGAGTATGGGATATTCACATGAGTCATAGCTATGTTATTAGAGGTAGAATTAGAGGGACTCAATTAGGGATGTAGCATCTCTCAAATTTAAATCACATTGGCGTGTTTGGAAAGAAAATTCGATTAAAAAAACTCATTAAAAAATAAAATAAGTTAAAATAATTAATAAGATAAAATGTCACATTCAATCTATAATCATTTTATTTTATTTTTCTCATAACCATCAAATTAATTACCCAAAAAAAAAAAATCAATCAACTTTCCAAACATAATTGTTTTAACCATGCTAAAATAATTAAAAAACCAAATAACCAGCTAAAATAACTATTTTCCAAATAAGGCCATTATTTTCGTGGTAAAATTAAATTTTTACCCTAGCATTATTATAGCTTCTAATATTGGCTAACTTTATGTGAAGTTGAAATAACCATAAAACACGCAAAAATAAAGAAAATTAATGACCCACAAATAAACATAGAAACTAACCTGGATAACTTCTTTGCCATGTTCTTCAATAAATTTGACGAGCTTGTTGTAGCCGCCGCTGACGAGGAAGAAAGGGTAAGCGTAGGAGTGAAGAAAGAGCTCTTCGAGGGGTTGAAGAATGCCGATCTTGACGGTGGGTAGGAGCTGGAGAGCGAGCCAGATGTCCAGCATGGCGTAGCCGGAACTGGCGATTTCAGGCGAAGCCGCCGTGTCAGCGCCGATGAGAGTGCGAGTGAAGAAGCTGAAGATGAACTGTTGTATCGGGACGAGGTAGCTGGCAGAGCCGGACTTGGCGAGGCTGGACTCTATGCTGGACCACATGGTGTCCAGGGTGGAGCTGAGTGTGGGGACCCATATGGTGGAGCTTCGTTTTAGGATGTCCAGCGCAAAGTTCTTGACCTGTCAATGTCATGGAGGCCATGTTTGGTATAATTTTTTATTATTATTTTAATCATAAAAAAATAAAATAAATTAAAAAATTAATAAGATAAAAAATTATATTCAATCTATAATCATTTCATTTTTTCTCTCATAAAAGTTAAAAAAGTCAAAAAAATTAATTCAAAACGAGACTTTTTAATTTCAGACTAACATAATAAAAAAAAATAAAAAGTCAATGCACATCCAAACGAAGACTCAGGATGCTTTGAGTCTCGTTTGAGAACAGGATAATTTAGTAATTTTTTGACTATTTAGTTAAAATATGAGTTAAAAAAATTAGTATGTTTAGAATGATTTTTTGACTTTTTACGAAAAGATGTGTAAAAAGTAAAAAGAAAAAAGAATTTTTGACTTTTTTGTATGAATTATTGACTTTTTAACTAATTTAATAATTTTTTTGACTTTTTAACTAAAAAGAGAATTCTCACGAGGCCTAAGTAATAAGTTGTTAAATCGGTGTAAATTCTTCTAGTACCGGCCGGGGACGGGCCGGGTACGGGGCTAGGACACTTATCCCCGTCCCCGGCCCGAAACTGATCGGGGATTAATTTTTGAATACCATCCCCGTCCCGTTTGGGATATTTTTCGGGAAAAAACCACTTAAATCGGGGTCGAGGGGTCGGGTCCCCGTCGGACCGGGTTCGAATTGCCATCTCTACACAGATTATAACCACTTCAACGAACGCTCAATACGCATCACTATTTTGAAAAAGCCACCATTTTTTTATTTTTATAATAATAATAATGGCATACCCTTAAAATTTTGGATAATCATAATACTAATATTACAAAACAGTTTTAATTATTTAAAATTATTATTTTAATTTAGGTTTATTTGACATATCTAATGGATCTCACACTACACAAATTCCAGATAGTTAAATGGAGTCATAATCTCGTTTGACAAATCAATATTTTAGCTTAAAAGTTAAAAAGTCACTAAAAAAAATTAAAAAACTAACAGCATATACAAAAAAAGTCAAAGATTTTATTTTTCTCTCTATTTTTTGCATATCTTTTCGTAAAAAATTAAAAAATTATTTCAAACATAATAATTTTTTATCTCATACTTTAATTAGAAAATTATTAAAATAATCTGTTCCCAAACGAGATAAAGAGGTGTTTTGAAAATATGATAAAAAACTGACTTTTGACTTTTTAAAAAGTGATTGAAAAGTTGATAAAAAGCTATTTTTAACTTTTTATTTATGATGTCACATCATAATAGAATGACCAAATTATCTCTACCCAATTTAATAAATTTACATTATCACCCATGTATAACCTTAAATAATATAAAGGATATAATTACAATTTTCCATGTAGTTTTTTTTACCTTGCCAAAGTCAATGTAGCCCTTCTTTTTTTTTTTCTACAAACGCAACTTTTTATCATATTGCCAAAAGACCACCAATTATACTGACATAAGGGTAAATTACCCTCGTAACCGTAATCACACTCGTAATCATAAGGGTAAATTACACTGACATTCATTGTTCGGAGAAAATTCAATAAGTTTTACAATTGAATAATGCTACATTTATTATATTTTTATAGTATTTTTTTTAATGTACCATCTCATTGTTAGCACATAAACATGAGTGGTGTGACCTATTATATTAATAATGGGTTAACATATGAAAGAATATATTGAATGTGGTATAAATATGTAAGTGTAGCCATATGCATTACGATTTTAATTCATATGAGGTGATATATTGATGTGGTATAAATATATAAGCCTTCGTTTGACATGTTAGGCTTTTTGATTTTATAATTATTTTAGTCACAAAAAGGAAAAATAATCCAATAAGACAAAACATTATATCCAAACCATAATCAATATTATTTTACATTTTATGGCTCTTTTTACATTATTTTTTTAATATTTTTGCACCATATGAATTAATTTTAATCCATTTAATCTTATTAAAAAAATCAATATTATGTAAAAATTTACTTTACTTTTTTTAAAACTTTAAGAAAGGGCAATGTAATTTATCCTAACCATAACTATTAGTGAGTGTCACATCAAGAGATTGCATGCCTATTATTTAAAAAAAAAAAAAAAAAAGAGAAGAGATTGCATGCCTATTTTTTAATACACCATTGAGTTGACAGGATTATACAATTACAAATGTTTTTAAGATGGACAATAAACAATTTGTAATAGAGTAATGTAATACAAACTAATAAATTTCATAAAATTTCCTATTAATTGCTGCGTCCTGCATTAATGAAATTTTAAAAAGTGCAAAAAATCCAATTAATAATACAATAAGTATCTACTTCAATAATATAATAAAAGTATTACAGTAATTGAGAAAAATATATAATTAACATTTATTAATAACAAATAATAAAAGTGTTCTGAAACATTGTTTAGTATTGGAATTAAAAATTCGGTGGTACTACATGCACCAATTAGTATATACCAGTATTAGTTATGATATTATTATTGACTCACTCATTAATCACATTACAAATATCAAAAACCTTTTAAATTATACCACATTGATACATTAATTAATATACTAATGGGTGCATATAGTATTATTCTTAAAAATTAGAAATACATAAAAGATTTTAAAAAAATAAAAAATATTTTAAAATTAATAAAAATATATAATTTAATGATAAATGTGTTTTGGCTTACCCTACTTGGGAAACCATTTTCAGGTACCAGTGAAATGCTTCCTCCAAGGATGTAGCTTGGGAGGACCTAGGAGCTAGAGGCTCTATTTTGTTATTTTGTGTTTAAATGTTTATTCAAGCCGAGAGCTTTATATGTACAAAGCTTATGACTCTCTTTTGTTGTAACCAAGCAATGTCTTGGAAAGATGTAAGCTCGTAGGACATTTATTTTGTTCATCATTAATTGGTACTACATGCTATAGATTCAGGATGTATATTTATGAATGTATATTGCATATGTTATCTTTTGTAATACGAACTCTGATGAATGAAAATATTTTATTTCTGTTATTCTTTTGTTTTTGAGTTGGATTTATTATATTATTTTGGGGGAGTTACATGTCTATTTTTTTATGTGAAACCGATAGAAAAATAATATTCTTAGTCATTAAACTCAATTTGGTGTACATAAAATGTTTAAAATACCATTTATTAAAATACCATTTTTTGTTGATTTTAGTTAACAAAAATAAGCAGATGATTTACATTGAAAACAAATCAAAATATTATAATTTAAATTGACAAAATTTTAAATTTATTTTGTTACAATAGTCAAACCCTTGAATTTTTTTTATATAGTTTTTCCCAATATTTTGAAAATGAAATGATTAAATTGATATATATATATATATTATTTGTGCCTTCAAGAAAATAAGAATGCAATTTTGCAAAGTCTATAACATGAAAAAATTATAAATTGCTCCCGAAGCAATGTTTATCACCAAAAAATACAGATAAAACACTAAGTATGAACTTCTCCTTAAATTTAGAAAAGATAAAATAAATTTTATAATTTTGATATAATTACATGAGTTCCATTAAAAGTATAATTCACAGAACATGTAACTTTATTTTCATAAATAATTTGTTACTCATATTCGAGCCCCGAAGTCTCGGGCCCTCAATCAGCGTTGTATAAAAAATTATAAATTGCTCCCGAAGCAATGTTTATCACCAAAAAATACAGATAAAACACTAAGTATGAACTTCTACTTAAATTTAGAAAAGATAAAATAAATTTTATAATTTTGATATAATTACATTAAGTTCCATTAAAAGTATAATTCACAGAACATGTAACTTTATTTTCATAAATAATTTGTTACTCATATGCTAACTTTTACACTAAAATATATATTTTTCTTTATTTATTCTTATGTCTTTATACTATCTGATTAATTTCGATTCTTTTTAATTTTAGTAAAAGAAAAGCCAGTATAATTATATTAGAATTATAAATCTTATTATATTTTTTCAAATCCTCAACAGAAGTTAATGTAATTTAGCCTAAGGGCATGTTTGATTGGAAGGATTAGAGTATGGGATTAGGATTATTAATCCGTGGGCCCAATTATCCTATGTTTGTTTTGACATTTTTTTTAGGATTATTAATCCAATGGATAGTTAGTCCAACAAATTTATAGGATTATTAGTAATGGGATAGGGGTGGGATTGTGAATACCACACTAATTTCATAAGATTGTTAATACCTCACTATTAGTCTTGTGGAATCAAACATAGCCTAAATGTATTGAATCTCATTATATTGAATAATTATAATTAATAAATTGCACACCATGTGACAAAATTTAAAAAGTGCATCCAATAATTTCTCTCATGTCATGTGCATGAGCTATTTGGGAGACCACATATCTAAAAAATATCTACATGGTAAGGTCCACTCGTGTTGAGAGACCACCTTTACTTGGATTTATATGGTGGTCCTGCTATAGGCACTAATGAAAACGCTTAATCTTTTGTTTTTTGTTTTTGGTGGATAATGAAGGCTTGATCATTTGCATCATCAAGCCACTTGGGGGTTATCTAAGGCCTCATAAAAAGGAGGAAAAAAAAAAAAAAATTAATTGTTGAAGGATTTACTTTTACAAAATATTAGTTCTATAATATTTGATTTTAATATTTGATCTGAGACTTTAAAATTTTTTGAATCAATACTGATAATTAGGGGTCTTTTGAAAAGTGAGTTATAATCTATTTATCAGATTATAACCCACTTTCCTCTCTCACAAAAAATTAATTATAATCAATTTTTAATTAATTTTTAAACACAAAATTGATTAAAATCATATTTCCAAAATAGTCCTTGGTTGGGTAGCTTATTTACAAGAAATTATTGTGGAAAAAGCAAAAAGCCATTCATGAGGCAATATGTTACCGTGGTTACTATATGATGTGATTTGTCACTTACAGATGCTAGAAGATATGAAAGACTGGTCTATTAGGTCAAGTTTGGCTACAAAGAAAAAAGTGTACTTATTTCATCTTTTTATTTTTTTTGGGTTACATCAATCAACATCTCCTCTCTACTTTTTTTACATATAATATAAAAAAAGTCAAAAAGTGCACTTATTTAATCTTTCCAAACTAGGCGCGACAAATAATATGACAAGATATTAAAAACTTGGTATTTAAAATTGATCATCCTAATATTTTTTTTTTTTTTTTTTTTTTTGTAAGTGACAAACTTTTTTATGTTATCATCAAAATTTTAAAATTTTTGATAATTAGGTATTCGGATTAACTTGTGTATTCCTCGACTAATTTTGAAATTCTGAATTTAACGGCCAGATAAATCTTCAATGATCTTTTAGTCTCCGTTTGGGAAGTGAGTTGACTTTTTGACTTTTTGACTATTTTAGCCTGGGCCTAAAAAACCTAGTTTGGAAAGGACTTTTTAGCTTTTTGACCTTTTTGACTTTTTTTTGTGAGAGAGGGGTGTAATGATTATGGGTTAGATTTGATGTTTTGTTTTTTGTGATTAAAATAACCTATTTTGTTTTTTGTGGCTATTTTAACCCCTAACCCACCAAAACCAACTTCCCAAACTATGCCTCAATGTGATTTAAACTCTAAATCTTGGATCTTATCCTTAGTTTATATCAGACATTATTCAAAATTAACAAATTGAACTACAAGTCAAAATTAATTATTATTGCATATGAAGTCATGGGATGACTTTTTGGCTAATTACGAAAAGATGTGCAAAAAGTAGAGAGAAAAGAGAATCTTTGACTTTTTGGTATAGGTTGTTGGCTTTTTGACTAATTTAGTAACTTTTTGGCTAATTAGCTAAAATAGCCTATTGCCAAACGCAGCCTTAGTTTATATCAGACACTATTCAAAATTAACAAATTGAACTACAAGTCAAAATTAATTATTATTGCATATGAAGTCATTCTCAAAATTTGTCACGCGCTATTCTAATTGATCCACCTAGATGGGAATGTACTTTCAACTTCATGATCACATAAAAATTTTAATACATGATTTTATGATTGAAAATGTATTAAAACATAGTGATAACAAGAATTGATAACAAAAATCTCAAAGGCCACCACCATAGGCAAGGAAAATTTTACAAATAAATCTATAAATACACATATGAAACTTCCATAATAAAACACAAATATAAGATAAAAGTGAAACTCAAGACTCACATTCGTATCGCCTTTAGACCATCTCCAACGGTGAACCAAAATTGATATCAGATTTAAATTTTGATGAAAAATATACTTTTCCATGCTCCAACCGTTGCATCAAATGAATATCAAAATGAGAAATCAGCAGAAAAAGTATCAAACTGAGAACAAGTTCCGGATTTTACCAAATCACTGTTACTGACCGTTGAAAGAGATACATCGGTTGCCCGGCCGGTTGACCAACCGGTTCCCTTTGAAATAACTAGGTTCAAACCGGTCAAAAAAGGTTCAAACAGGTAAAAAAAAAAATTGCCCAAACCGGTCGACCGGTTGGTCAACCGGCCGGTCGACCACCTCCCTAATTTTGCTTTGATGCTCACCGTTGGAGCGCCTCGTATCAAATTGAAAAAATCGTCATTTTTTCAATCAGATTTGATGAAAAAAGAAGTTAAGCGTTGGAGATGCTCTTATATCCCTTTATATAAATTTCATTTCTTTTCCTAACACTATTGAAATTTTGCACCAGCAATTAAATACTATGCTCTAAATTCCATAGACCTCAAAAAACCATCCATGAGCTCACCCAAAAATCACTTTCCAAACAAACCCTTAAGATTTTTGCTCAACAAAAATGTTATCATTAAGGGAAAGACTATACGATACACCTTTTAAAAGGTATATAGTACCTTATAATTAATGAAAAAATAATATATTTTTATATTTTTTAAGTCATAATTAAAATTCTTTTAAAAAAACACAATCAAACACTACATGAGTACAATCAAACATTTTAAAATAATGTCATAATTAAAGAAAAAATTAACCATAATTAAAGAAAAAAATGACATGAATAAAGCTGTATATAGTAAGGGGTGTGTAGTGCAGAATTCTCCTATCATCTAATTTATGGGAAATTTTGATATACACATTTTTAAAAAGTTCTATCATATATATCCCTAATTATGATTAATTTTATTCTTTAATTATTATATTATTTTAATTATCCCCGATGCGATATTTAATTATGTGTCATGTTATGTTTGGTTATAATATGTTTTTTTAGTTATGACACAAAAAAATATAAAATTATATCATTTTATTCTTTGATTTAAACATTTCATCAAAAAAAAATATATATATATATATATATAAAATCTAGTCGTCTAAATTAATACAATTTATTAGTAGGTGAAACTTTAAAAAATTAAAAAAAAAAAAATTAGCGGGACCCGTTAAAAAGATATAGAAAAGATGATTGGAAAATATTCTCAATTTTTAAATTACATATATAATAAAATATCACATATTTAAAAAAAATTCAGGATGCATGTCATAATTTTTTTTATTTTTATTTTTATGATTCATAATATTATTCTTCAAATTAATACGTATTTCTACATTAAAATTTAAAATAATAACAAAAATAGAAAATTACATAAACAAACTAGAGTAAAAGTGAAGCATAGAGAGCCAACCTTAGAATGGAGAGACTCAGATGTATCAAGATAAGCACAAACTCTCAAATCGCCGGTGTAGGAAACACTAGGCATGAAATCTCCGACGAGAACATTCTTCTTCTCAACGATCTCCATATTAAACATATGAGCGAAAGATTTGCAATCCAGCAGGGCCACTACGTTAGGGTTTACACCGTAGAAGAAAGGAAAAGTTGGGGGAAGATTTGTACGGAACACGGTACTCTTGTGTTTCTCAATTCTCTTCCTGAAGAATGTTTCTGGACCTTGGAACCAGAAGTAGTCGAGTCGGTCGGAAATCGGACCCAGCACCGGCCACCCGTAGCCGCCCGGGATTGTGCGGACCGGCGCTGAAATTGACGACGGCGATGGCGGTGTTAGGGATGGTGAGGGTGAGGGCATACCTGGTGATATGCTCATCATTTTCGCCATCACTGCCGACATGCTTTTTTGGTTTTGGAGTCTTTCTGCTTCTCTCTCTAACAATAGTTGGTGTTGAGGATCCTTTCAGTACCAAATAATGGAATTGAAGGAAAATGGATCAGAAAAGTTCCACTTGTGGTATTTAAATAGAAAATTAATATAGAACATGTTTTTATCACTTTCATAAATATTGGGTTAGTTGGACAATTTGGCTATTTTTGATGGTTTTTTAATTTTTAATTTAACTAAAAAAATTATGTTTGGAATGATAATTGACTCTTTTGTGGTTGATTCAAACCTCAAAGCTCACTTGTTTTTGTACTTAAGTAGTGTTTTGAAAAGATGATAAAAAATTAATTTTTTAATTTTTTTTATAATTTTTTATATTAAAAAAATTAAAAAATAATATGACTTAAAAAAATAAAATAATTAAAAAAAAATAAATTTTTTATCAACTTGTCAAAAGGCCCCCCAAGTGTCTTCCACCACCACTTGTCAAAATAATATGATTTTTCAAAAGCTTTTAGGGCTCTGCTGGGGACCCTAGTGGGGTGAACTCTAAGTGCCACTTGTGGGGCAGTCATTGGTTGACAGAATCAAAAAAAAAAAAAAAAGTTTTTTGGGCCTAGGAGAAGAGACTTGTGAATCCGATCTTCTGTCGCATTCCCCCTATCGCCTTCCCTCTGTCGCCCCCAAAACGACGTTCGTTTTGGGGGCGATAATTCAAAAAAAAAAACGCAGAAGAGGGAGGAAGGAGAGGAAGAGGAGGAGGGAGGGAGGAGGAGGAGGGAGGAGGGAAGGCAGGACCGGCCGGAAGCTGGGAGGGGGCCATAATACAGGGGCAGAGGAGGAGGCGAGCTCGACGGCGGTCGCAGGTGCTGCGACGAGGTGGAGCTGCTGCGACGGCGGCTGCGACGGCGGCGAGGGACGACGGCGGTTGCGACGGCGGCGAGGGCGGCAGCCTCCTCCTCCTCCTCCTCCCTCCTCCCTCTCCCTCTCCCTCTCCTTCCTCCCTCTCCCTCTCTCTCTCTATATCCTTCCTCCCTCTTCTCTGTGTTTTTTTTTTTGAAAATTTGCCCCCAAAACGACGTCGTTTTGGGGGCGACAGGGGAAGGCGACGGGTGATCCGGATTCGAAGAGACTCCAGCACCCCACTGCCGTCTCATGCATTTCCAAGCTTTTATTAAGGATATATGCTAAGAAAATATTAAATTAATATAATTATGTCCACCCATATAGGTAGTAAAAGGTTAAAAATTATCTAAATTAATTAATTTTTTAAAATTTGTTATAATAAAAGCAAAAACACTCTGGTTGCTTTTCTCTATTTTAGCCTATCATCTTTTTTTTTTATTCTATATTTTTTTTTATTTACCTTTTCACCTTCCTTGGATACAAATGTTTTACATTAGCCTTGTTTGGAAAGGGTTGTTTTAGCTTATTTTAGGCTAAAATTTACAAAAAAAATAAAATAAAATAGATTAAAATAGTTAATAAGAGAAAATGTCACATCAAATTCATAATCATTTTACTTTTTCTCTCACAAACATCACATTCAACTAAAAAAATCTAACAATCTTTCCAAACATAAAAATTTTATTCTACTAAAATAATTAAAAATTAAAATAATCTACTAAAATAGTTAATTTTCCAAACAAGTGCATTGTTCTTCCTAGACATTTTACGTAATAGGCCAAAAAAAAAAAAAGTAAATTATGGGCGAAGCATCAATGGACAGTACACTAGTCCACCACCAAAGAATCCCAAGAAAATGGTACAAATTTCAACCTTCAATCAAGAGCTTGGCTTGGACGTTTCTGCTGGTCCAATGTAAATACACAAAAGTGTATTTGGGAAGTGATTTTTTTTTTTTTTTTATGTTTTTAATTGTAGGATATTATTAGAGAAAAAAAATTTATGTTTAAAAAGATAGTTAAATTTTTTTATAGTTGAATGTGATATTTGTGAGAGAAAAAGTAAAATAATTATGAGATTTGATGTGATATTTTGTTTAGATTTTTTTTTTAATTTTGTAAAATATTTGTCTTGTAGTTAAAAAAACAAAAAACAAAAAAACCCAAAAACAAGTTTCCAAACATTCCATCATATGTTATATAAAAATTAAAGATTTTAGAGGTTAAAATTTACAGATAAAATTATTTTTTAAGAACTAAATATGTTTGTTATGAAAAGTTTTATTATATTTTTAATAACAAAAATTAAATATTAGTGATAAATTAAAATTTTTTAGATCAAATTTTTTGTCTCAAAAAATAAATTTCTTTTAGACCAAATTATTTTGTCGCTAAAAATATATTTATTAGTGATATTTTCAAAATTTTGTCGCTAAAAATCTTGTTTTTTACTTTTCAAGACAATCTTTTAGTGACTATCATCAAGATAATATAAATTAATTCCTAAATGTCTTATGAAACAAAATTTTTATTTTTAAAGACCAAAAAAAATTAATTTCTAGAACTCCAATAAGTTGTTGTGACAAACACTCTTGGCTTAAGATTTTTTTTTAAGGTCTTAAGTTAAATATTAAATGAAATTTTATTTTACTAATCTTATGAAAAGCTGGTACTTTCAGCAGTAAATTATTTTAAAATTTCTTTTACTTTGACTGATAATCTAAGTGGTCTAATGGTTGAAAATCACCAAAAATTAGTTTGTTCCCCAACTATGCTATAGAAAAATGAATTTTACACTCATATTTTCTTATTTGGAAAAAGTAAGTGTATGGAGAGCAAATATTTGTCATTGTCCGTACGTCTCGTGTCCAAGTTTTGCTTCGCTCTGAATACTCTACGAACACAACAAGCGTAAGCTACTCGGCAGGTATACTACCGGAAAACCCCTCCGAAGATCAAGTTAGCACCCTTAGAGAGGAAGAGAAAGAAAAAGAGAGAGAGATAGAGAGAGGAGACAAAATGGTAGGTGAGCTTTGATCACAAGATTTCCCCGACTTGTGTACAGAGGTGCAACACCGTTTATATAGTTTCTGCGCGCTCCTCTACGTCCATTCCCCTCTGGACGCGTGGACCTACTCTCCTCTTACGTTGTCCCACATGTTAGCACTAATACAACTAAACACCAAATGACGAAACCACCAAACGGTATTGACGCGTACGGATAGCGGAATCTTCTTCCCGCAGCCCCAGTGTGCCGCATGGCACTTCCTACCGAGCTATGCTCTGCGCAATGCCATGCCCTTCCCTCGGAACCGCGCTACCTATCTGGCCTTGTCGGTTAGGCCTAAGTATTGGCTCGACTAAGCTCCATAGTCACGACCGAGCTCCTGTTCGGTTGAATTCGATCTTCCGAGGACGAACTCCGTCCGACTTACACGGTGCACATCACCGAGCCGTGCTAGTGCCTCAAACTCACTTCACAAGACCGGGCTGATATCTCACCCCAGCACATGCCACGCGTCTGACCATGCTTAAACCTCGCTCGATCGCGTGGGCTTGTTTTGTCTGGGCATAGGCCTTAACTAAGGCCCAAACTAGCTCGGCCCATAGCAGGCTAAGAATCTCTCTCTCAATTGCTTTCTAATTCCGTCTGCGCTAGCGTGACCGAGATTACATTCATTGGTAGAGCTCATTTCTTTATTCGGTCACTATCTGCCTTGTTTAGTGTTCGGTCACCTATTTCTCCAAATTGATCTATTACCCCGACCGAGCTAACCATCGTGCTCGGCCACACAACTTGCCCGGCCAACGCTTGGTCTGTCCAACCTGTCCTTTCAATATTAACATCGATCTCGTCATACACGCGTCACTCGTCCATTGGTTCTGTACCGCCATCCCAGCCGTCCCATAATGTCTTTTTAGATTCAAATTTTTGGCGCCGCTTCCTCTTTCATACATATTGGACCCCCGTTCGTATCTCTCAATCCACTGTTCACTATCTTCTTTGTTAGCGACTCAGAGCAGCAGCATATTCGATTCTAGTTTCTTATCTCCGTTGCCCTGGTTGAAGCGCTTTATTAGTGGATTTGGCTTAGCCATTGTCATTGTGAACCATACCATCGATTAGAGCTCATTGTTTTGCCCAAACCCGTAAGTTCACAATTTCCTTCGTTTTCTGCATGTTCTTGAGGTTTTTCATCCCTTCTGTATGTTTTTGGGCTTAAACCTCCACATCCGCATTTAGGGTATTATAATAATAGCCAAACATTACCAATAACTGGATTAGACTAGGGTTTTTCCCTACTTTCAATGTCGAAAACCTCCTGTGTCCTCAGTTTTCCACACTGTTCATTATTTCCTGTGATGAACAGTTGTGGATCTAGGCCTAACCGGGCTGCGAATCCTAATTTGATTCAAAATTATAGCTGGATCGGATCACTTTTTGTTTATGGCAATTATATAAGGAAACTGGGCTTTTAAACCATGAAAGGGTTGCGCGACTGAGCAAACTTTTGGCTCGTTCGTGCGACTAAGCTGTTAAAACACAAGGGTCCTGAGGCCAAACTACGATCTGGTCTACTTGCATCGCCATGCTAGTAAGACCCACAAAGGGTTACAACTCATGACCGAGCTAGTAAACTCTGGTTGATTGAGCTACCATCTAGCTCTAACCACGTGGCCACGCTGTCACTTGACACTTGATTTTTAACTACAAAGTCCCAGGGGACCAGGCACACCAACACCAAGGCTTTCAAAGATCGAGCAGCCACCGTGCACAATTTTGCCAAATTAATTTTACCAGGCTAAACAAACAGGCTCCCATGGGGCGTTATCGCTTCCTTGTAAACACGCTGGGCGCATTGGCCGCATTCCTAGAGGAGTATGGCGTCCCAGCTGATGTGCACCTAGAGCTCAGCGATGAGGACATAAATCTATGGAGCAGGTTAGAATCTTGGACCTTCACCGTATTGAGCATTGTCGATGGGGGTCTGCGCTTTCCGGTGCAGCCCTCGATCTACAAATTCTTAAGCCACACTAGCTAGCTTCTATGCAAGTATCGACCAACACTTATAGAATTATAAATGGGGTGGCCGAGCTAAACCACTGGCTTGGTCTGAACGTAGGCCTGGCTGAGATCTTGTGTCAATACACGCTCGGTCACATGGCAAACGGGATATAATTATTACCTGAAAATAAGGCCAGGCCGAGAACGTCTAGTAACCAGTACACCGGACAAAGAT